TTTACAGCCAACGGCAAGCTGCAATTGACCGATTGTGTACAAATAAACTGACTTTCTGCTTCACAACCCACTATTGTACGTTCAAAGAGTTAAATCCATATACACGCCGGGTGGCGGTAATATTTTTTGGGTGATTAGTGCATTCCAGTGACATAAACGTACAGTTTACAGCCAACGGCAAGCTGCAATTGCAAGTGCTAAATAAACTGACTTTCTGCTTCACAACCACTATTGTACGTTCAAAGAGTTAAATCCGGTTTTATTTTTGGGGTGCTTATTGAATTAAAGAGTATGTCAGACAACACGCAGAGGAGTGGCAGAGGAGGCAATGTTTCAGGAGCGAGCAGACGTGGCAGCAGAGGAAGGGGGGTCGAGGCAGCACTAGTCGCAGCCAGAGGCCAGTGCTCCCGGTGTCATCCAGCGGTCGTGTCTCCACCGACAACCCTGCCGTCATCGATTGGTTGACTCGGTCGTCTTCCTCTTCCCAGGTCACCTCTGACACCTACAGCCAACGGTCGGTGGGTACGTCAGACACAACCGTTAGTTGGCATGGCCGGGAGCAAGCCCACTGAAATCACGTGTCCTCGACCTGCCCTGTCCTTTGGTGTTCCCTCACCAAGCGAAGTATCGCATGCTGTGGGCTCAGCCCCACTGTACAGTGAGGAAGAGCTAACAGAGGGCGGTCAGGAACGGGGGGAGACATCCGCCTCTTCAGCAGCCAGGCGAAGAAGTACTGGCGAGGAGAGTGGCTCGGTAGCCGGTCTAGAGACAGGTCTGTCTCCTGACCCACACGCAGCCGAGGGGGCTAGTAGTGACGCGGAGACCCTAATTGATGATGATGAGGCTGATCGCACTTGGCAGCCTCGTCGTCATCAGGCTATTGCTTCCGCATCATCAGGAGAAGAGGGTGCCAGCTTGGCAGCGAGCAAAACAGTCGGTGGGTTGCCCAGGAGGCAGCAGGGTCGCAGCAGTGTCAGTGGAGGCAAACGGCCACGGAGTAGAGCACCAGCTCCACTGCAGCCTACCACCACGGCCAGTAGTGGTGCCGGTGTGCACGGAGGAAGTAGCAGTCAGCCAGTGAGGAGTAGCGGGGGCAAAGTTTCCTACTCGGCGGTGTGGCAATTTTTCGTCAAGCCAGCCCCGAGGAAGTAAACGTAGCCGTATGTCGACTATGTGGCCAGAAAGTCAAGCGTGGCCAGGGGGCCAATGTTGGGACTACAGCGTTGCGTCAGCATATGCAGCGTCGCCATTCGGTGGCCTGGGAAAACCGTGATAAAGATACGGCGGTTCTGCCTGCCCCAGCCCCCGCTCCATCACCCGCTCCGTTACTTGCTCCGTCACCCGACGTCAATCGCCCTCTATCAGCCAGTCAAGGCTCCAACACCTCTGCTGAGGGGAGTTGTCGCTCGTTGGCATCTTCCGCTCGTTCAGATGCTCCTTCTCCTGCTACTCCTCTTCACGGATTCCGTCAGCAGTCTTTCTTGGAATCCGTTTCCAAGAGACAACAGTTTGCGAGCACGCACCCGACGGTGCAGAAGCTGAACGTCCTCCTGTCCAAGTTGCTGGTGCTGCAGTCCCTCCCTTTCCAAGTGGTGGACTCAGCACCTTTCCGAGAAATGATGGCTTGTGCCGAGCCGCGGTGGAGAGTGCCAAGCCGGCATTTCTTCGCCAAAAAGGCAGTGCCAGCCCTGCATTCACATGTAGAAGAGATGGTGGGCCAGTCTTTGAGCATGTCGGTCTCTGCCAAAGTGCACGGCAGCGCCGACGTGTGGAGCTGTAACTACGGTCAGGGACAGTACATGTCATTTACGGCCCACTGGGTGAACGTGGTGCCGGCACAGCCGCACCAGCAACTTGGACAGGTCACGCCGCTTTTGCCTCCACGTTTGCACGTCCTTGGTCCAGCAAAGATGTCCGCCTCTCTACCACCTCTCTTTCCGCCGTGTCCTCAGCCGCCACCCCCGTGCCAAGTCCCATTACCCGACCGGCATATCACATGTGCAGGGCGCAACGGTGTCACGCTGTGCTGCACCTGGTATGCCTTGGCGAACGTAGTCACACAGGGGAGGAACTTCTGAGTGTAATGAACAGAGAAATCGACAGATGGCTGTCTCCGCGCAAACTGAAAATCGGAACCATGTTGACCGACAACGGAAAGAACATGGTGTCTGCTCTGCGTCAAGGAAGGTTGTGCCATGCGCCATGCATGGCTCATGTGTTCAATCTGGTTGTCAAGCGGTTCCTAAAATCCACCATCCCACTGCAAGACATCCTTAAAATGTCACGTAAATTTTGCATGCATTTCAGCCATTCCTACACCGCAAAGCACACCCTCCTTGAGCTGCAGCGGCAGAACGGAATTCCACAGCATCGCCTGATCTGCGACGTTGCAACAAGGTGGAATTCAACCCTACATATGTTAGACCGCCTTTACGAACAGCGAAAGGCCATCACCGATTTCCCTGATGTTACAAGCGGATAAAGGTACTCCCCTGTGTAACTTAGATGTCAGCCATTGGCAGCTCATGCGTGACACCTGCCGCTTGCTCAGGCCCTTTGAGGAGGCCACGCTATTCGTGAGTCGGCAGGACTATGGGATGAACGACGTCATTCCTCTGTTGCACGTCCTGGAACAAATGCTGTTAACAATGGCTGGTCAGGGTGCGGTAGACGTGGCGCACAGATCTCAACGCCACATGACCCCTGTGGGGGCAGGACAGGAAGAAGAGGAGGAGGTAGAGGAGGACATTGGTGCTCAGGAATTATTGAGTGAAATGGGTGGTTTTTCCACTCAGCGGACAGGAGTGGAGGAGCAGGAGCATCTGGTAGAGGAGGAGGAGGAGACAGAGGACCCAGACGCACCGTGGCAGTATGCTGTGGAGATGGAGGCAGGGAGTCCCTCGCATTCCTTGGCACAAATGCCCATAGCATGCTCGGTTGCTTGCGTAGCGACAGCCGAATAATAACCATCAGACAGAGGGATGACTTTTGGCTGTCCACCTTGTTGGACCCTCGCTACCGTTCAAAAATGGTGGCCTTTTTCACACCTGCTGAGAGGGAGGCCAAAATAAAGTACTATAAAAACCACCTATGTAGTCAGTTGGTCTCTGCCTTTCTGCGCCAACGTCCATCCTCAGACACTGTGGGCCCTGTGCGCTCGCGTTCCGCTGCCATGGCAGCAGGGGAGGGTGGGGTGGTAGGAGCAGTGGCAGCTCCACCAGCAGCGGCTGCCTCAGTCTGCAGTCGATGATGAGTAGCTTTCTTCACCAGCGCAGTGAGGAAACTACTAACCAGCCGCAGCAGCAGCAGCATCAGGTGGACCTGGAGCAGGACCTCAAACAACAGGCTTGGGCCTACTTGGACAGCACCCTGCCAACCGAGGTAGACAATCCCCTTGACTACTGGGCAACGAAACTTGACCTTTGGCCCCAACTAGCTGAATTTGCCCTTGAAAGGCTGTCATGCCCGGCCAGTAGCGTGGCATCGGAGCGCGTGTTTTTAGTGCGGCAGGAGGTATTGTAACTCCGCGGAGGACACGACTGTCCACCCAAAGTGTGGAGAGACTCACGTTTGTGAAAATGAATCAGGCGTGGATTAGTCTGGATTTCAAACCACCAGTTCCTGACACAACTGACTAAATCCGCCATGAATCATGCCCCAAACATGTTATTAGGGACAAATGGAAGACCTCCACCTGATCCGTACATTTGTATATATATTTTATTGAGAGGCTGCTGGTCGGCCGACTCATGTTTTGCACATTTTTAATGACTTATACTCTGCAGGTCGGGCCCCTCATAAATTGGGGTTTTTAAATTATTTATACTTCGCTGGACGACCGACCGTCACATGAATTGAACCTTTTTAATGACTTATACTCTGCTGGTCGGGCCCCTCATGAATTGGTGTTTTTAAATTATTTATACGTCGCTGGACGACTGTCACATGAATTTAAACTTTTTAATTATTTATAGTCGACCAGTTCCAGACCGATGGAATAGCATTTTTTTTTAAATATTTATTTGACACGTGTTGTCCATCTCATCAATGAGGTGGACTGTTTATTTATTGGCCACGGTTTGGCCCCCTCCTGTTTCTTACATTGTTAACTTGTTGTATCGGTCACGGTTTGGCCACATGTTTGGTTGTCTTGTTAAGATTTTCTGTAATGTACACAGTTACGCTTGACTTGTCGACTTTCCACAATCTACTAAGGTATAGCATCGCATCAAAGTTTTTTTTTTTTTTTTTTTTTTTTTTTTTTTTGGTCTAAACCATTTCTTATAATGTCAATTTGTAGGATACGCCGCTGTAAGGCGACCTACTTTTTTGTCACTGTGTAGACATCTATTTATAGGCCGATGTTTTGCCAGAAATATATATTTAGTAATAACCTAGCCGTTCAAGCCGCTCACTGAACACCTCGGGAATTGCTTTGTATATCTGTTGCCTTAGGGGCCGCTGTCTGGCGACATAATTTTTTGTCACTGTGTAGACATCTATTTATAGGCCGATGTTTGCCACAAAAATATATTTAGTAATAACCTAGCCGTTCAGGCCGCTCCCTGAACACCTCGGGAATTGCTTTGTATATCTGTCGCCTTAGAGGCCGCTGTCTGAACAGCTCATGAATTGCTTTCTATATGTGTCGCCTTTGAGGCCGCTGGCTGGACAGCTGATGAATTGATTTGTATATATGTACTTATTGTCCGCTGTCCGGACAGCTCATGAATTACTTTTTGTATATAGCCTTCCAAACCACTCTCAGAATAAGTCATGATATTCATGCTGTGTATAGCCTTATAGGCCAATGGTCAATCAAGTCATGATTGTTATAGTGTGTATAGCCTTATAGGCCGCTGTCTTTACAACTTTATAATTCCATGCAGTATATAGCCCTATCGGCCTTTCTGGCATCCAGTTGCTGTAGCCCCCATCACCACACTGTGCCACGGGCCCCTGTACCCCTTCCCATACTGCTGCCAGATCCATCCTCTGCCATGTGCGTCTTTGTCGTCTGCTCACGCTGCTGGGTTCCAGTTTTAAACCTAGGCCTGTGTATGGCTTCCGAATACTGCTGCCTCCACCGCCACCCTGCGCCATGTGCCTCTGTCGTCTGCTCACGCTGCTGACGGCTTCCGCTTTTTAACCTAGGCCTGTGTATGGCTTCCGAATACTGCTGCCTCCACCGCCACCCTGCGCCATGTGCCACTTTTGGGTCTCCTCACACTGCTGCCAGGTCCATACTGATTCATGGCCCCCTGTACCGGCTCCTCATGAACGTGGTTCAGCGGGTTTGCATCACTTAACGGCAAATCGTTGACAAATGCTGGGACGTTCAGTGTTGTGCGCATTAAGCCAGACACCAAAGGGCAGCACAGACCTGTTATTACTCGCTCAAGCATGGCTGAACAAAACCAGTCTCTACCACAAATTGGACCCAGACCTGCCCAGGGTCTCGTAACTAGATTGCACGGAGGAGTAGAGTCCGTTATCGGAATTAAATAGACAAAACGCCACACCAAAAAGAGTGGCCATTTCCAACACTTATTCCAGAAAGAGGAACAACCCGTTTCATATACGGCCCGTAGACGTTTCACGTCTGCCACATTCAGTCGATTTAAGACGCAAGCTCCACTTCCTGTGGTCTCTGACCGTCGATATACCTTTAAGTGTCAGCTTTGAAGCTATATTTCCTCCGGAGCACTGACACTGGTGCCCTTCCGTCAACATGCCTTTAAGTTTCAGTTTTCAACCATATTCCCCACAGAAGCCAAACTCTTGGGTATCCCAGAAGCTGCTCAGCGGGTCAGGGCAATAAAGCTCCCGGTTCGCAGGTTGTTCCGTCTTATGGATGGAAGTACGACGGTATATGATCTTCTTCGCACCCACGGCATTACCTCATAACATTTCTGCATTGCATCTGCAATCACAACGCTGACTTCCCGGATCGCCACTCAGCCATTGGACTCTTGATAGTCGTCTCCCCACACTGCTGCTGGGGGGACTTTTTAACCTAGGCCTGTGTATGGCCTTCAATTGAAGCTGCTTCCGCTCCGCCACTCTGCCATTGGACTCTTGATAGTCGTCTCCCCACGCTGCTGCTGGGGGGACTTTTTAACATAGGCCTCTGTATTGCCTTTAATTGAAGCTGCTTACGCTCCGCCACTCTGCCATGGGCCTCTTGGGTATCCCAGAAGCTGCTCAGCGGGTCAGGGCAATAAAGCTCCCGGTTCGCAGGTTGTTCCGTCTTATGGATGGAAGTACGACGGTATATGATCTTCTTCGCACCCACGGCATCACCTCATAGAATCTCTGCATTGCATCTGCAATCACAACGCTGACTTCCCTGATCGCCACTCAGCCATTGGACTCTTGATAGTCGTCTCCCCACACTGCTGCTGGGGGGGGGACTTTTTAACCTAGGCCTGTGTATGGCCTTCAATTGAAGCTGCTTCCGCTCCGCCACTCTGCCATTGGACTCTTGATAGTCTTCTCCCCACGCTGCTGCTGGGGGGACTTTTTAACATAGGCCTGTGTATGGCCTTCAATTGAAGCTGCTTCCGCTCCCTCCGCCACTCTGCCATTGGACTCTTGATAGTCGTCTCCCCACGCTGCTGCTGGGGGGACTTTTTAACATAGGCCTGTGTATGGCCTTCAATTGAAGCTGCTTCTGCTCCGCCACTCTGCCATTGGACTCTTGATAGTCGTCTCCCCACATTGCTGCTGGGGGGACTTTTTAACATAGGCCTCCAATTTAAGCTGCTTACGCTTCGCCACTCTGCCATGGGCCCCTGTACCGCCTCCTCTTGCTGCTGCCAGGTCCAGAGTGTGTCATGGGTCCCTGTACGGCCTCCCATTGCTGCTGACTTCATCGCCAGACTCTGCCATGTGCCACTTTCAGGTCTCCTTACACTGTTGGTGGGTTCCATTTTGTGATAGGGTGCTGTATGGCCTTCCATTGCTGCTGCCTCCACCGCCACCCTGCGCCATGTGCCTCTGTCATCTGCTCACGCTGCTGACGGCTTCCGCTTTTTAACCGAGGCCTGTGTTTGGCTTCCGAATACTGCTGCATCCACCACCACCCTGCGCCATGTGTCTCTGTCGTCTGCTCACGCTGCTGACGGCTTCCGCATTTTAACCTAGGCCTGTGTATGGCTTCAGAATAATGCTGCCTACACCGCCACCCTGCGCCATGTGCCTCTGTCGTCTACTCACGCTGCTGCCAGGTCCATACTGATTCATGGCCCCCTGTACCGGCTCCTCATGAACGTGGTTCAGCGGGTTTGCATCACTTAACGGCAAATCGTTGACAAACGCTGGGACGTTCAGTGTTGTGCGCATTAAGCCAGACACCAAAGGGCAGCACAGACCTGTTATTACTCGCTCAAGCATGGCTGAACAAAACCAGTCTCTACCACAAATTGGACCCAGACCTGCCCAGGGTCTCGTAAGTAGATTGCACGGAGGAGTAGAGTTCGTTATTGGAATTAACTGTGAGGGACTTTTAAACCTAGGCCTGTGTATGGCCTTCAATTGAAGCTGCTTCTGCTCCGCCACTCTGCCATTGGACTCTTGATAGTCGTCTCCCCACGCTGCTGCTGGGTGGACTTTTTAACATAGGCCTCTGTATGGCCTTCAATTTTAGCTGCCTACGCTCCGCCACTCTGCCATGGGCCCCTGTACCGCCTCCTCATGCTGCTGCCAGGCCCGTAATCTGCCATGGGCCCCCGTACCGACTCCTCATGCTGCTGCCAGGCCCGTAATCTGTCATGGGCCCCTGTACCGCCTCCTCATGCTGCTGACAGGTCCAGAGTGTGTCATGGGTCCCTGTACGGCCTCCCATTGCTGCTGTCTCCATCGCCACACTCTGCCATGTGCCACTTTCAGGTCTCCTCACACTGCTGGTGGGTTCCATTTTGTCATAGGGTGCTGTATGGCCTCCCATTGCTGCTGCCTCCACCGCCACACTGTGGCTCCACACTCTGGTTTTGGCCCCGTGACTGCCCAAATGAGTGAAGTGTGCGGTGATTCTAAGATCGACGGCACTCATCTGCATGTCATACTGACTGACAGTATTATTTCTCTTCCCCAGCAGACTCCAAGGGCATTTAAATTAAAGGTACAGTGTTCTGCACTAATATAAAGGCTCTCTGAAGCCTAGAAACACCCTTTTTATAAGTTAAATTCGCATCGAATATATTCGGCTCGAAGCGATTTTATTCAGCGAATTCGGCGAATCAGCCGAACCGAATTTTTGAATAATTCGCTCATCTCTACACATGACTGAAATACTCAAGAACCAAAATAGAATATCTAGGGAGAGAAAATAACAGAGCATTATGGAGAAGAAGGAAAAGAGTAAAAAAGATTCAGAAAATAAATAATATACGAGAAATAAAGGAATAATGTAAGACCTGGTCCTAGAAACTGCTGACATCATGTTGGTTAGCAAACTTTTAGGTGAATAAGGAGACATTCCTATATTGGGCCCATGGATTACAGACTTTTTTTTAATTGTTTCTTATCATTTAACCACTTCCATACCAGGCACTTTTACCCCCTTCCTGCCCAGGCCATTTTTCAGGTTTCAGCGCTCTCACACTTTGAATGACAATTGCGCAGTCATACAACATTGTACCCAAACTAAAATGTTATCATTTTCTTCACACAACTAGAGCTTTCTTTTGGTGATATTTAATCACTGCTGTGGTTTTTATTTTTTGCTAAATTAACAAAAAAAAACCAAAAATTTTGAAAAAGAAAACACGTTTTTCTTTGTTTCTGTTATAACAGTTTGCAAATAAATAATTGTTCTTCATAAATTTAGGCCGAGATGTATTCTGCTACATGTCTTTGGTGAAAATAACCCAAATTAGGATGTATTTTTTAGTTTGTAGGAATGTTATAGAGTTCACAAACTATGGTATAGATCTGAATATTGATCAATCCTGAAGTACTGACAGCCAATCTAATTTCTTGAGGTCCAAGAATGTCAGAACAGTACTGATATCCCCCAAAGAGTTTTTTGAAGTTGTATTTGTTTTGTCATAATTTTTCGGAAAATGAAAAATGCAGTACAGCATCATCATATAACTGGCAAATATTTTTTTTTTTATTATTTTAAATTTTTTATTATTTTTTATTTTCATATTTCACTATGACCAAAGTAGTACAATGTTATCATAGTAACATTGTACTACTTTGGGGAAGTGATCAGTGATTTTTTTTTTTACACAGTTTGCTTACAGCAAAGAATTACTTTGCTATAAGCAAGCATTTACCTGAATGACATTGATTCATTCAGGGTTTTTTTTTTTTTGTGTGCTTAGCTGTGATTTGGCCACAGCTAATCACATGACATGTGCATGTGATTGCTGTGACCATTCACAGCTAGACACTAGTATACAATGGATGGCATGAATGAAGCCATCTATTGTATACAACTGTCATGTGACCTGCTGTGATTGGTCACAGCAGGTCACATGGTACCGGCAACGGGGGCCCGTACTCAGATCTGTCATCGGCCGTGTCCGAGGTACACGGCCGGTGACAGATCGCACCGCTGCTCGGCTGTGCAAGTGCGCAAACTGCGCATGCCCGGGAGTACGCCATATGGCGTCCACCGGAAATCAAACGCATTTTTCCGGCCGCCAAATGTCTATTGGCCGGGCGGCTAATGGTTAATATGGAATATTAGGAGCTTTGAATGTGCCACATCCAATTGAAATTATGAAAAAAAACAACTGCTAGAATGTAGAGAGTATAATAGCTGACTTTATAGACACTGCAAGAGACTACACTTTGTTTCATTAAAACAAAAATAAATTTTATTCTACATAGATGTAAAACAATTTAGAGTACGTTGAGCCATTTTGCACATTTAAAAACAGGTGGGATTGAAAAAGCGATCCCCCCAAAAATACATAACCTCCTCTTTTCAGTTAATTGTGTAGTCACGTAGATTGTGTTAATAGCTTGTCCAGCTTCAATGGTCAACATGGTTCGTATATAGCCTCCTCAGGACCATATGTTAAAGGAGGTACAACACTAACATTATAAAAGAATAACATACAATAGTACATATATCACTAGAAAATTGAGAACCATATAGTAAAACCTAAAATATCATGTATATATAGGCTCACGTTAATAGGGTGTAATGTAGAGAATAGCACACATACTGTGAATACCTACATAAATGGCCTTGAGTACAAAAGAGGAGAATTCTCAAACTTCCTCATGTTTGATTAACCATAGTTTACAATCAAGTACTGATTATTCCATCCTAATCAGTAGCTATATTCAATCTACAGAAAAATAGCGAACATAGGAGCCCCACATGAGAAATCCTCATCATTTCATTAGCATGTATGTATTAGATAAGCATGATAAAAAGAAGTATATATAATCACTTACTAATGTTCAGACCATCCGTAGGTTGTATTAGATATGGATAATATCTGGAACCAGGCCACTGTTAGTATACAGGTTTAAGGACCCTTCGAGTGAATAGGCCTCAATAGCAATTTATCGGGAATATATATTAATAAACCCCATATCACTCAAGTATAATAGTATATCACATATATATACATATATATATATATATATTACACACACACACACACACATACGTATATACAAAAGCCAAAAAATAAAAAAAAACACAAAATAATTATTTAAAAGAAATCAAAAAAGATCAAAATCCGAATTTAACCCTTTAGGGGTTAATGTATCCAAACGATGGATCCATTGAACCTCCCTTTGTCTAAGTTGTAATTCCCTCTTACCTCCACATCTATTTCTAGGAATTCCATCAATGACCATAAATCTGAGTTGAGAAACTGTATTACCCTTTTCTACAAAATGTCTGGCTAGCAGTAATGTAAGAGAATTCCCACAAGGAGAATCGCGATCGGGAATGCGCATGCGCAAAAGAGATCCCACAGAAGAATTGCCGTTTGTGCGCAGGAATGCACGATCACGCACATGCATGCACATATGCACATGCATGGCGAAGATTGGTGCCAGACGGGCTATTTAAGGTGCGCCTCTGCCCAGATTCAGTGCTGACTGGTCTTCAGCTACCCCCTGTGTCCTGCTTGTTCCTGTGCAATTCCTTTGGTGCTGACCCGGCTTGTTCCTGAACCGACTCTAAATACTCTCCTGCCCCCCGGTTCTTGACTTTGGCTCTGCTCCTGACTTTGGCTTTTCCTCCTGTTCCTGCCCGACTGTTATGACCCTGGCTATCCTACAACTCTGCTCCAGTCCTGTGTCCTGGCTACAAACCTGGCTCTGCTGTGCATCTGGCAATCCACGGTACCTGCCTGGTCTATTACTACAGTACCCAAATCAGAGGATATCCTGCCTACCAAGGTCATCATCTGCAAGAGCCGCAAGCAAACCTCTGGCGCTCTTGTCCTCCTGGTCCCTAGACTCCTCTGTTCCAACTTCAGTGGGGTCAGGGCTAGTGACACGAGTGAGGCCGACCTCGTCAATTCAGTTTCCCATCAGGTACGTGACATGTAACTTAGTGAGCTTATCTCTATTAGAGTATATATTTCTAGCTATTCTGTCCTTTACCTTTTTGGTGGTCTCGCCAATATATAACAACCACATGGACATTTTATCATATAAGCATTATATGTATTACATACACATGCCTAAAAGTATATATAATCACTAATGTTCAGACCATCCGTAGGTTGTATTAGATATGGATAATATCTGGAACCAGGCCACTGTTAGTATAAAAGTTTAAGGACTCTTCGAGTGAATAGGCCTCAACAGCAATTCCTTAGGCTCTTATCTGGAATATATATTAATAAGCCCCATATCACTCAAATATAATAGTAGATCACTATATATATATATATATATATATATATATATATATATATATAGTATGCATATATATGCTCACCTAGAATAGAAATAGATATAATT